CTCCCAAGTAGCTGGGACCACAGGCGCCCGCCACAACGCCCGGCTATTTTTTGGTTGCAGCCGTCATTGTTGTTTGGTGGGTCCGGGCTGGGGATTCGAACCCGCCACCTTAGGTGTACGTGGCTGGCGCCTTAGCCGGTTGAGCTATAGGCGCCGTGATCAAAGGTTTTAAACATCTAAAAGTAGAGAGAATAGGATAATGAGCTCATATCACCTGTCACCAAAATTCAACAATAATCAATCACCTTAGTAGCCTCTTAACAGAATTTTGTGGCTGTATGCATATGAATTCTCAAATTTGTTTTGAGTTTTGCATGCTTATATGCAAATGAGCAGTAACCTTACACTTTGTCAAATTAAGTGTAGTTAATTCTGCAGCATCTGATAGTATTTATCCTCATTTTTTATTAGTTTAGGAAAAAAGCTTTGTAGTCATATATCATTCAGGAAAATAAGAATGTTTTCTTTAATTATGTTTTCTATGTGTCTGTCAGCTATTCTTTTATGTATTAGGAGAGCTCGTAAAAATATGATAATTTTTCTCGCCTCTACCAGCTGTGTAATCTAGTGAGGAAATAAAATTGACATACATGAAACAATTTAAGAACTGTCCAACAGTGAAGTTGTAGCAAAGGAAATAATTCAGATGTTAGTAGAGATCCGTAAAGTATGTGGAATGTTATAGAAAGGAAAAAGAAATGTAAAGAAAGGGCAAAAACATAAGCAAGATATGGAATGAGAAATAAATAGGCTTTATGCTCAAAAATGGGAGCACCAAAGAGACTTCTTAAAAAAAGAAGTGACAGAACTTGGTGATAGATTTGATCCTGGGGACAAAAGAAAGACACAGGTCAAATCTGCCTCCTGTGGATGGTATGATAAGAATGATGGATTTACAGACATAGGAGGATAATTAGGGAAAGTAGGCAGTTTGTAAAGAAGCTGAATAATTCACTTGAAGGCATCTTGAGTTTGAAATTACAAAAGGCTCAGTGGAAATAACTGTTGTATGCATTAGGAGATATGGCATTAAAATGTAGGTGAGAGCCTGGGTCAGATTATACGATAGTGTATGGAAGTTATCTGTGATGAAGTGTTAGTAGATGTGGCCTTGTAAGGAAAAGAAAAAACTAAGGTTGGGGTGTTGTACCCATTGTGACCTGAAATGATAGACTGGGATCCCACTTAGATGTAATTAATTGGTAATTTATTACACCTGCGCAGGGGACCGCTGCCTTGAAAGGCAGTCGGCCTCGAAGTGGAGGGTAGGTTGTTTTTTATACCTTTTTTTGCATAGCCAAGCAAGCAGGCCAGTACAGAAGTGGAATATTGTGGTTAGCTTGGGGTGGGGTTATAGCTTGGGTGACAATGGATACAACTTAGGTAAGAATGTTTACAGTTTAGGTAACAATGGTTACCACTTGGGTAAGACAGCTTAGGTAGGTTTCCACCATTGTTCGTTCACTGGGAACTTGGGGTGTTTTTTTTTTTTTTTTTCTGTGAAACTTGGGACTTCCTGTGCTTCTTTGTTCTTAAGCCTTTTCTTGGACTCGACCCTGGGGGGGCGGGGCAGGGGAATGGGCTGGGAGCTTCCCTGTGACGGGCAACTGAGAAACCATGCACATTTCTATAAGTAAAAATCAGCCATTTTTACTTAAAATAAAGCTTATCGGAGGCTTTCTGTGTGATGATACATAAAGTCATATAGTTATACTGTATGCTATTCAAATATGATTCCATTTCGTAAATGAGTAAATCTCTATTTACTTGAATATCATAATATACTCTTATTTTTTGATGTTGAATCCATTTATCAAAGAGGCATCTACTCTTTCATCCAATTATTTTTTTAGCCAATATAGTGTTCCAGGTACTGTTCAAACCCTGAGATGACAGAGTGAAGCAGGTAGATGGAATCTCTGCTCTTTTAGAGATTATATTCTGAGTAAGCAATGAGTAGAAGCAATGGACAAATTAAAAAATGTATAAAATGTTATGAGATAATCAGTACTGTAACAACCAAAAAAGCAAGAAAGCAGATAAGGAAATTACTAATTATATGTCTTATATTTAAAATAGGTGGATGCTATTTTGGATGGAGTGACAGGTGGTCAGTGAAGTCTACTCTGAAAAGAAAACATTTAAATAGATTCCTGAATGAAGGGAGACAGGAGTCATAGAGATATATGTAGGAACAGTATTTCAAGGGCCCTGAGTAGAAGCATGCTTGACTGTTTAAGGAACTGGGAGAAGAAGGCCAGTATGGCTGGACCTGTAAAGGAGTAGCGTTGTAGGTGATGAGTTCAGAAACTAGACAGATTGTATGCCATTTAATAGATCATTCTATTAATAGATTCATCTTAAGGATGTCATTCTACATCTTGGGATTTACACAGGGTTGTTGAGGAATAAAAATCACATTTTTTATAGGATTTATTCTTTGTACTACTAAACTTAATATTTTCATAGGATTTATTCTTTGTACTACTAAACTTAATATTTTCAAGATTCTAAGGACTAGCAGACTTTAACCTTTATGTACTATGTGAGTAGAATAGAATGCTTTCATGGTTCTTCATGTTTATTGATTTTTAAAAATTTGATCTTAAACAGAGTGGTAGAGTGCGGTGGCATCACCATTGCTCTGTGCAACCTCAAACTCCTGGGCTCAAGTGATCCTCTTGCCTATAGTCTCTTGAATCTCTTGGGACTATTGTCATGTACCACTACACCTGGCTAATTTTTCTTGTAGAGATGGGGGTTCCACTTTTGCTCAAGCTGATCTTGAACTCATGGCCTCAAGTGATTGCCCTGCTTCAGCTGCCCAGAATGCTGGGATTATAGGTGTCAGCCACTGTGCCCAGCCTAAACTTTTTTTAGCAGCAAAATCTTTTCCATTAAATGAAATCTTATCCAGACTCTGATACATAAAGTAGACAAAAGTAGAGCTGCTTGAATTATTGCAGGGCTAGCAAACTTAGAACATAACCATCAGGATCCTCCTTGCTTCTCTTTCCACCTGAGCTTCTGTTCCTCAAACTTAGGGCTGTTGGGTAGTTCCTAAATTGAGCTCTATTTCTCAATTACCTGGGGAATTGTTAAAATACAGAATTTCTGGGTCAGTGCTAAACTACTGAATCATAATCCCCAAGGGTATATCTGGTGACTCTGTTAAAAGCTTAACAAGCAATGGTAATATTCAGGCATGATTGCAAACTACTGCTGTAGAAAATAGTAGTTTTTAAACCAATGGTTAATAGAAGGCTGTGATGATAGCACTTCTAATGTAGAAAAATAGAACTGAAGAACTTTAGCAGGACTTGAAGGCCAGAGCTTCCTATAAAAAACTAATGAACAAAAGGAGGTATGTTTCCTGACTCAATGAATGAAATCAGCAGATGAAGAGAAAAGAGACAACAAACATGATTCAATATGTCTCACAAACAAGGAAGTGACATTAAATACTATTGACTTGGACTCTTCATTTATAAATTTTATATTTTATTAGGAATAGTAAAAGATTCTAATACCCTAAAAACAAACAATTTTGAGAACATTTTTGACTTTTTGAAATAGATCTTTGTAATTCGTTAACTGACACTGTTGAGAAAAATTGGGGACTTTCTTTTAGACATTTAATTAGTGAAGAATTAAAAAAAATTTGAACTAGCAACCAATAGACTATTTCATTGATTTGGTTGGATTTGCAAAATAATCACAAAGGAAAAAGACTTATTGACTTATTTATATGTATAACCATGAGTGAACAGAAATAAAACCAGAAGTAAAAGAACAATATAGAAGGGGGAAATATGTACATCAAGCATGACTTAAGATATTAGTGTTTGTCATGTATAAAAAAGTTTATCTTAATTTTTGAAAAATGTTAATGAAAATAGTAACTACTCTAGATGGGCATTGTGGCATGCGGCTGTAGTCCCAGCTACTCGGGAGGCTGAGGTAGAAGATTGCTTGAGCCCAAGAGTCTGAGGTTGCTGTGAGGTATAATGATGCCACAGTAACTTTACCCAGGGTGACAAAGCTAGTCTCTGTCTCAAAAAATAAAAAATAAAATAGAAATGACTCAACAACAGAAAATTTACATTAGAGAAAAATGCCAGTAAGCAAGCACATTAGAGATGTAATTCCTTACTAACAACAAAAATGTAAGCCAAACAGGCTTTGGACCTACAATTTTATATTTTTTGAAATTAGAGCAAGAAATTCTGTGGGAGTGTGCAGTAAACTGTTATAGATGAAAATAATATAATATAGAGAAAGTAGCAATAAGCATATTTATTCAGTTTGTTTCATTTCTCAGCACATTTCAGGAAAAAGTGAAACACAGTAATTGCAGTGGTGTTCATTGTAGCATTAGATATAGTAGCAAAAATACTGGGAAAACAATTCAAATGTTCAATGATACAGGATGAATTTTGTAAATTATCAATATAATAAATTGCATGGTGTAATTTTATGCAACTATTGACAATCATACTTTTA